TTTTACAGAACGATAGAAGTAAAAATATTCGTCGAATACAGTATATTTGAGTTTAAAAAACTAATTCTCAGAATAATGTAAAACTATAAGTACACAATTATTTCGAGAATTAAGTATAAACAATATTAAAATAATAATTCAGTGGATCATTTGTTGGACGATAATATAATTATTAGATTATAAGATTTCAAATATTTATAAAAAGTAAAAATATTTGTTGAATACAGTATATTTGAGTTTTAAAAATTAATTCTAAGAATAATGTAAAACTATAAGTACACAATCATTTCCAGAATCAAGTATAAACAATGTTAAAATAATAATCCAGTGGATCATCTGTTGGACGATCATTTAAATTATTAGATTATAAGATTTCAAAATATTTATAATGTTATATTGTAATAAGGGTTAATTGCTAAATAAACCTTAACCTTTTTGCGTTTGGCAATTTTATCCCAATCTTTAGGTAATTGCAATATAATCTCGACCTCAATTTACTTATTGCAAATTTGGGTGCAGAATGATTGATTTTAGGGATTTGTGGATCGATTTTTTGTCCAAGTCTTCCATTGACACGTGCTTTTATGCCATCCACGTAGCAAGTTGACAATTTCCCGTATTTAATGTATATCCAGGCACAAAGCCAAAAATTCGACGTCAATGTAAGCTACCGGTGATGATTCTCCTCCTAGATCTGGAGTGAACCGGTAAATATGAGCTCCGATCTGTTCGAACCGCCTTCAAATCGACCAGTTTTTTTGAAGGTCCAACCGGTTTTAGGTTCGACTCGCAATAAGTAAATTGATATCGAGATTATATTGCAATTACCCAAAGATTGAGATAAAATTGTCAAACGCAAAAAGGTTAAGGTTTATTTAGCAATTAACCCTTGTTATAATTATGATATGAGTCATGTGTCCAACTACCATGCAAATTATAACATGAGAAAGAAAAATCAAACTATATACAATATATGTTGCTACAAATGATGATGGCAAACACTGATTATTTATCAAACTGATGTGGTCGTAAGAAGCGGTTCATGGAGGACCAGTTGTGATCTGGGTTTTAGTCGTACTCAGCTGGGTGGTTCAATCTGGTAGGCGCAGCCCATGGTACCTCTAGAGTACATGGGTGGTAGGCGGAGGCTCTGGTAGGCGCAACCCATGGTACCTCTGGAGACTGGAGTACATGGGTGGTAGGCGGAGGCTCTGCTAGGCGTAGCCCATGGTACCTCTGGAGTATATGGATGGTCGGCGGAGGCTCTGGTAGGCGCAACCCATGGAACCTCTGGAGTACATGGGTGGTAGGCGGAGGCTCTGGTAGGCGCAGCCTATTGTACCTCTGGAGTACATGGGTGGTAGGTGGAGGCTAGCTCGACGTGAACTAGGTAGGGCACCTTGGCACCTAGGTAGCTGGACGTCCCACTAAGGGGACTAGAGCCCAGAGGTGGTATCGTGCTCAAGTCATGAAGAGGTTCGCAACCTCAAGGACTCTTAGGATTTTGACCTAATCCAGAGGAAGACTCATAGTATGATAAGAACTATTCAGGTCCTACATGACTTCATCTATAAAAGGGCACATGTTATTTCACTTACACAACACACACATACAAATTCTTTCATTACTCTGCCGTTTTCTCTTTGGACCACCACTAACTTGAGCGTCGGAGTGTTCGCGCCGGGACCACCCCCGGCGTGTTTTGCAGGTACTGACGATCAAGGAGACGCAACACGGTTCAGAGAGGAGCGGTCCAGCGGTTCAAGTATTTGTGGTATACAAATTGCCGCCGTCTGCGGGGAAATCTCAGTCTTCTAACGAAGTCTCAAAGGTTGTTTTTTCTCACTAAAAAGAAGAACGATAGAAGTCATGGCAGGAGATAACTCGAAGAAGAACCTGACAAAGGAGATGGATGCGGAGTGGGCTCGAAGGGCCTTCGGGACATGTCCCCCACCAGGATGGTCACCATCGCCTGTCTCCCCCAAAGAGACGCTGTTGGCCCCAAACGCGACCCGACGCCACCACCAGAAGCTCAGGGGCACTCGGCGAACCCAGGGGGATCGGTTGGTATGGCGGACAAAGGGAAGGAGGTTGGCACCCCAGTCGATGAGGGAGTGAATCAAGGCATTTTGGGATCCGGGGGTGCTGGTGGTCAGAGTGGTGCCCTTGGTAGCAGGCAGGTGGTTGTGGCAGGAGTGCAAAACCCTCCGGGGGACAATGTTTCTTCAGCACCACAGGGGGACCCAGTTATTCAGATGACCAGTTCGGAGTTGGAAGGATCATTGCTGAGGTAATAAACCGAGCTCAAGAGGTGGATAGGAGAGCCCCTAAGGAATCGTTTCGACAACCTCCGCCCCGGCAGCCACTCGCACCTCAACAACAACACCAACGTTTGGACAGGGGCGATGAGGATGATGCCAGGTCGGTGACCTCTCGCCCGGTGGCGAAGACACAGCCGGATAGGTTAACTTTGGAAAGGTTGGCAGCTCAAATGCGGGAACTCCAAGCTCGGGTGCAGGGTAAGAGACCTATAGTTTCACGAGGACACCCTTTTGCAGAGGATGTCTTAGGAGGGGATTTGCCCAGCAACTTCAGGGAGTTGAGCTTGTCCTATGATGGATCGGCGGACCCAGCTAGGCACTTGAGATCGTTTGACAACATACCGTGCTGCACAGGTATAGTGATGCTGTGAGTTGCCGAGCCTTCTTGACGACATTAAAGGGGTCGGCGCAGGATTGGTTCAACCAGCTGCCAGCGGGATCTATCGATGGCTTTGAATAGTTTAGCTCTCTGTTTCTAAACCAGTTCGCGAGCGCCAAGAAGCATAAGAAGACGTATCTCTCACTAATCAATATGCAACAGAAGGAGGGGGAGACCTTGCGGCAATATATATCACGGTATACTAAGGAGTGCGTGGAGGTTCCCTCTGCCTCGGAAGAGATCAAAGCTGGAGGTCTTACACGGGGATTGAGGCCTGGGATGTGCAGAGATTTATTGGCGAAGAGGCCAACGAGGTCCTTTGACGAGCTACTTGAGAGGTGTAGCAAATATGTGAACATGGAGGAATCAGAGACGGACTTCATCCAAAATGATAAAACAAAGGCTAAGCAGGTGGAGGAGAGGCCTCGACAAGGTGATCGACGAGCTGCCCCTAAGGATTCTTGGGTCGAGGATCGGTTCAGGGGTCCGAGGTACAAGCACTACAAACAACTTAATGCTCCACAACAGGAGATCCTTGAGATGATAGAAAAGCGGAGAGAGGATAAGCTTCTCGCACAACCAAAGCCTCTACCCCACCGCGGAAATTTTCAGAAGAAAAGTATAGATATTGTCGTTACCACTGCGATTATGGCCACTCTACCAATTTCTGCTGAGAGTTGAAAGATGAAATTGAGCGTCTCATTAGGGCTGGTCACTTAAAGGAATTCGTGATCAAGGATAAAGAGCGCCAGGAAGATCACCGCAAAGGGCGTGAATCAGGTGACAAGCGAAGGAGGAATGATGAGCAACCTGACAGGACAATCAATAGAGGCATAATACACATGATCGCGGGAGGTCCTACAGATAGAGTTTCACATAGGAAGAGGAAGAGGACCTACCGGGGAAAGGGTGTTGCCAATGAGGTGGCCGAAGTGCAGGGACATAAGAGCTTGACTACTCTGAAGTTTGGAGCTGATGACGTGCAGGGGCTTGTTGTCCCACATAATGACGCCTTGGTCATCACCGCAAAGGTGGCCAGCTATGATGTGCAGAGGGTGTTTATAGATACATGAAGCTCGGCGGACATGATTTTACTGAAGTGTTTGCAACAGATGGAGTTAGACGTGAAGGTTGAGCCGGTCCACACTGCTCTATATGGCTTCAGCGGCAGCGAGGTTCGTCCTGTTGGTGAAGTTAGCTTGACTGTGGCGTTGGGAAGGTCACCTATGAGGAAGGTGAAAATGGTCCGTCTCTTGGTTGTGGATGCTAACTCAGCATACAACATCATATTGGGCCGATCGAGCTTGAACTCATTTCAGGCTGTTGTATCGACTTATTGCATGAAGGTCAAGTTCCCCGTAGGGAATGAGGTTGGAGAGGTGGCAGGAGACTAGCTGCAATCTCGGCGGTGTTATGAGGTCACATTGAAGACAACCGAGACGCAGAACAAGAAAAGGAATGACGACCTACCTGAGTGTTCCCATCGAGAAAAGAAACAAGAGTTGGGGAGGAGCTTCCGGGATGAGCTGATGGAAGTTGATTGATATAGGGGCAGTTGTTGCCATGACCATGAAACGTATCACATTTGAAGAAAATATTATGCGTAGTTGGAGACGTGTTGTCTTTAATTTCTTTCATTTGTTATCGGTTATGTTTCAGAGAGACAAGTAATAAAAAAATTGCATGTGAAGTTTTTTCAGCTTAACTCTTATCTTGTGTGATGTGTGTGCAAGGCGAAAGCCTGTTAGTCTCGCATAAGCTCGCGAAGCTAGGCGACGACCTCTGTAGGGCGAAAGCATGTTAGTCTCGCCTAAAATCGTAGAGCTAGGCGACGACCTCTGTAGGGCGCAAGCCTGTTAGTCTCGCCTAAGCTCGCGGAGCT